TTCTTATGTATTTACATATCTAACACCTATACTTCTATATTTACATGAATATCACTAAAATTTTTAACATGACATAAAATACCACTATTACTTACTTTTTACAAATACAATTCTTCATGCCTAGGTTTATAACACTAAAAATTGTTATAAATGTAAATGTTAAAGTTTAATGTTAGATATGTAAATGCATAAGAACTGTATGGTATGTTCTTAAATTTCCGTATTTTTTATTTCAGACCAAACCAGCTACATTTGCAGCATTTAATTGTGATCTTTTTCTCTTTTGATCTCTAAAATAGTTTATATTTTAGTTTACAATGTATTTTTTATGACTTAAATTTAAGATTGTATATCCTTGAAAGAAAGTACTTCGTGCAAATTTCTCCAACAACTCAAGGAGGAAAAAGAGTTTCTTGGCAAAATAGTGTTTGATAATTAGTTTTTGCTAAGCCCAAGAACAAACCTATCAACTCCTAGTGTCACAAGTATTGGCAATTGATTCAGACTAAAATAGATCACAACCTAGTCATAAGAAAAAGGGAGCTTTTACATACACAACTCAATTCTCATCACTTTACATATCTATAAATTTACTTTTTACAATTATACAACCGAAATCTATCATATCGCATAAAAAATATCATTCTTTAAGTTTTAAAAACACAAATACACATTTTCATGTGTAGTTAAGGAGGCATATAAGTAAATTTGAGGTTCAGGTGTTAAGATATGTAAATACATAGAAATTACTAGGTATGTATGTAAATCTTCCTAAGAAGAAAGTGTTAATTTTGATTCAGATCAGACCTAATTATTGGGTATAACAACAGCAAAAAGAACGAATATGTTGAGTCATTCATTAATAAAGTGAATACCAGCAAAATTATTATGCACACATACATATATTTATAGATACACTTAAAACTTAAGAAGAAAGTGTTAATTTTGATTCAGATCAGACCAAATTATTGGGTATAACAACAACAAAAAGAACGAATATGTTAAGCCATTCATTAACAAAGTGAATACC